CGCAAGTGACAATTTGGGAAATTCTTAAGTAGATGCTCATGAATTCCTGTGCTGTGTTCCTGTGGAGCAAAAACAGGAACAGAGAATGCAAGAGAAAAGGGGAGAAGTTCTGCAAAAGTCAGTCACATTGGAGATGAGAACGTGTTTATTAAAATATAACTGCCATAGCTAGTTTCAATACCTAGAGTGCTCTACCAGCCTCCACTGCAGGGAATATTCTGGAAGTATGTTACTGTTAATCTGGCTTTTTTCTTAATCAAGTAAAATGGCAAGAATAACATCCACAAGTAACCTCGCAGCTGGCATGCAATTTAGCTGCTGATTTAAATCAGTTAGCTGGTAACTACACAAATAACTCCCCTACCTTGTTTCCAAAATTGGCAGACATGGTAAGAAAGAGGAAAAACAAAATGGTCAACAAACAGCAATAGTAATGCCTTAAATATGCTGAAGAAAATCTTCCTGTCTACATTAGCAGAAGTTTATCACAGGATCTGCTCAAGTTGTTAAGTCTTTCAGAATCATCATTTCCCCTTAAAATTACATCTCATGTTCCTAGATAATTCTATCCAATCAAAAGTTTGTTACCTTTTTTGTTAAAGGTATGCCCAAAAACCTCATTTTCAAGGTGGCAGAACTGATTCTGCACCTACACTGAGGACTGTGAGAAGGGGAGGTTAGAAAAAAAATCACATGAAACAAACAATCTAACTCTCAAATGCAATTCTTTTGATTTTTAATAGAAGGCATCAGCATTATACCAATGCCAATAAGGCATTTCCTTAAATGTTATATTATTGCAACTTATCGCTCTTCCCCTTTCTTGATTTTGCCAGCGTCCAGAAAGACACATTTCCTTTCTGTTTTCTTTAAACAGGACAATAAACTCAGGAATGAAAAAAAAACAACAGCAAGAACACACACACACACACACACAAATACATTCATTGGAATTTTACACTGCTCTTTTACTCTCAATAAATTCCTACTCTTACACAAATAAACAAAAGCAAATATCAATGCAGAATACCAACAAGCACAGTTAAATATATTGCATGGCATCTGTCCCCTGTGTTTTAGCCAACATATCTAAAGTTAGACCAAAACACTTAAATCAAATTGCAATTCTGCTGTAACCAGTGCAGCACAAAGTTCTCTTTGCAGTTCCTTCAGATTAAAGGCAAGGTGTTCCTGGCAATCAGTGACAGAGTGCTACACTGACAGCACTTCAAATACTCAGTACCCAGAAATTCCATCCCATTTCATGTTTAGATCCCCCAAAATAAAAACTAAGAAAGCAAACTGAGAAAGAAAAAAAAAAAAACAACGAAACTAAAAAACCAGAATAATCTTACCTTTCACAAGCTCGGACGGTCCACGCAGCAATTATCCACAATGAGATACTAAAGACCAACAGTACAGTTCCTGGACATATTGTCATTAGAGTCTTCATAACAAAACGAGTATTGAAGTTTATCTTATTTAATGCTCCAATGCTTCTAGATGAGGCATCAGTGAAAAGTTTGCTATGCAAGAGCATAACTCTGGCGATAAGATACAGTCTTAAGAACATTGGTATAGATAAAATAATATCCACATCAGCTGTTGCTGTGGATGGAGCATAAGAAAAGGCAAGTCGGGCTGTCCATGTGAACGTATAGTTCCCAGGTATGGGATGTATAGCACACACCAGTATTTCCAAGCAGATAAAGAAAATACGCTCATAAGTCATGGCTATTCTCCAGTCATCTGCTCCATTGTCCACCATGAACAACTGAAATAATAAAATATAAAGTTAACTTTAGTGTGTCATTAACAAACCATTTTTATAATTCCATTTTAAAATACCACAGCTTTCAGCGCTACCAATGACTGCTAAAAAGAAAATAAATACGCCATTTCAACAAATCAAATTACTACACTGCTACGAAGTGAAACATAACTTTGGTTACACCAAAAATATTTTTTCACCATTTTAAAAAATGTATATTTTCATACATTAAAAAACTGTATTTTGATGCATAATTTCCTAAAAATTCCTCATTGTTTTTCATTTCTCATAAAGCGAAACTCTGGATCAACTAAACCCCAAAATCAATTGCTAGCTCAAAGTTCATAAACTGGAGAAAAAATGAAGAAGATTTTTTCAGAGTGGAGAGGTAAATATCAAACTGAACATTCTAAGGTTAAGCTCTCTCTAGAACATACCTATGCTTCAGCCATCACGATATTATAGCTTCGGCTGTGCAAGCTTACTTCAGTCTTCAAGTACCAACACAGATTGATAGAGAATGTAAAACATTCTCAGAAGCTGAACAACTCAAAAAGATATCTCATAAGGAAAACCTGAAAAGCCTGCAAACATCAGAGCAGACCAGGCAGGCAGGTGACATCTATTAGAAGCTGAAAATCAAATGCACCTGTTGGTTCTTGTATAATCAGGCCCTCAGTTCGCCAACCAGGAACAAAAGCACTGACACATTTCACACTGTTTAGTAAATTCCTAAGGAACTGTGAAATTAATACTTCAATAATATTTTTAATTAGTAGTGAGTAAGGGGTATGTAAGAATTTGCAAACAGGCTATGTGCTAAAAAGGGAACGTTGTGACTAAGAAGATACTACATGATCACAGGAGAAGACTCACTTTAGCTGTAGTCTAGACAGAGCTGTTCATTATATGCATGAGGAAAAATTAAAAAAACAATAATAACTTAAAATTGGATTACTCAAAAAAAACCAGAAGCAATTTAAAGAATGAAAAAAAAATAAATACACAAATAAAGCTCTCCTCAGTAATAGAAAACTATTTCCAGCATGCTACACACAGCTAAAAATACAATTCCTCATCTGCACTGTTATTTACCCCTTCCCATCTTTTCCATCTACCAATTTCCTGCTCTGCTCTGCACTGGTATGGCGTCACCTCGAGCAGTGTGTGCAGCTTCAGGTGCCACAATGTAAGGACCTAAAACTACTACAGAGGATCAAAGGATAGCTATGAAGATGACTAAGGATTTGGAGGGCAGGATGTATGAGGAGTGCCTGAGGTCCCTTGATTCATTCAGCTCAGAGATGAGCAGACCGAGGGGAGGCAAAATGGTGGCCTGCAGCTCCTCGCAGGGAGTGAAGGGGCAGTGCTGATCTCTGTGACAGCAGTGGGACAGAGGGAATGGCATGGAACTGCATTGAGTGTTAGGAAAAGGTTCTTCACCAGACGTTGGCTGGAAGAGACCCCCCAGAGCAAGGGTCATAGTCCCAAGCTGCTGGAGTACGAGGAGCATTTGGACAACGCTCTCAGATACAGGATTTGAACTGTGGGTGGTGTTCCTGTGTAGCACTTGGAGTGTGGTCACCCTTGTGGGTCCCTTCCAACTCAGGATGTTCTGTGATCCTATGAAATCCCAAGAGTTTAGAAAAGGGAGCTTGATCTCTCTGTATAAGTTGTTTAAAACCAGAAACACACTCTGCAATCTCCAGTAAATTCATTTGTCTTCCAGAAAACTGTTCCAGTAATTTGTTTTTGAAAATGATAATTATAAATTTATTGTAGTTGTACTGACATTGAAAGAAACAAAGAAGTTAACTGTAGTAAGAAACAACACAAAATAGATTGTTGTATTTGTGGTCATATCTTACATTCCTTTATGCTCTTTCCTTCTGTCTTACTTCATTGGGTATGTGTGACAAGATTTTGATAGCTGGGGAAGCTGCAAGGATGGTCTCCCTGATTACCATGAGACACAGCTAAGCCTGTTAGTGAAGGTGGTGCCTGTTCCATGCAAATGTGTTTAAGAAAAGCCAAAACACTGAACAGTCAGTGAGGAGTAAGGAAAGAAGTGTGTGAAACAGCCTGGTGAACACTAAAGTGAAAATAGAGGGGCATGAGGTCCTCCAGGCACTGCAACATGGAGAAGATACGTGTAGAACTGCAGCCCATGGAGAAGACACATGGAGGACTACGGAGAGAATGGTATTCACTGTAGTCCATGAAGGAACCACATCAGAGCAGCTGCCCATTTCCTGAAGGCTCTGCTGCCTGTGAAAAACCCAGGCTGGAGCAGATTCTCCTGACATGGCCCACAAAAGACCCATGCTGGAGTAGTGTGAGGAGGAAGGACAGGTAGAAGAATTGTAATAATCAGATCACAACCCACATCCCCCACCTCTCTGCACAGCTTGGTGAGGAGGTGGGGCAGAAGGAGAGAAGGTGAGCCTGGAAAGAATCAACAGGAAGGGGGGGGTTTGTTTTTGTTTTTGTTACTTAACAGCCTACTCTACTTTTAATTGACAGAAAGCCAAATTTTCCCAAATCAGTCTGTTTTTCCAGTGGTGATTAGCGATCTCCCGATTACCTCAGCCCATAAAGTTTTCCTCTTAATTTCTTTCTTTTTCCTGTTGAGGGGGTAAGCTGGCACTTGGCTGCTGGCCAAGCTCTGCCCATTGCACTAATGCATAGATCTTACCTCCACTGCAACAGTATTAATAGCAAAGAAACACAAAGTGTTCAATTAAGCTACAGAAACACACTCGGTTTAGCGTTAGCTAACATGAGCACATGCACCTTCTTTCACATGAGATCATTTTGCATACTAGAAATAACTGTAAAATTGATACTGGTAGGAAGACCAATCTATTAATTTATTTATTAATTTAGTGGAAGTATTACTTGTTATTCAAATTACACCATGGCTCTAGCCCATTTGGTTCCTGTGATCAGTCTCTCAATGACAGTCATATCAAAGTATGGCTACATGAGGGCTGCTTTGAAAGTAATGCCTCCTATTCTACTACATCAAGCCAGAGTCAAAGGCAGATGTTGGTGGCATGGCAGTAGAGGTTGAACCTTCCCACCAGTATCCCATGACATAAGGTTGCCATGCGATACATGGCAGCAGATGGGCAGTCTGATAAAATGGCATCTGACATGGAAGCGTGTATGAAGAAAAGGTGCCTAATTGAATTCCTCTATGCAGAAAAAAATAAATGCGTCCATTGACATATTGATGCTTGCTGAACATTTATGGAGACCAGACACTGGATGTGAGCACAGTGAGGCGATGGGTGCTCCGTTTCAGCTGACGATGGCTTTGGGTCACCTCCGCTCAGGCAGATTTTTACAAGAGCATCATGAAGGCTGTTGCTCATTGCTGGCAAAAATACATAGCTAATGGTGGTAGCTATGTTGAGAAAGTGTTTTGTAGCTGGGAATTCTCTGTATTAAATAATGTAATCGTGCTGTTTGTATCTGCTGTAGTTTCCATGGAAATAAACAGGAGGCATTATCTTCACAATGACCTACGTAAAAAAAGAATATTTATATGTATATAAAAATATAGCCAAATCTCTCAAATATTGTACAGTGTTCTGATGAAAAGACTAAGTGAATAGCAAGGCCAAGTATTCTAAAATATACCTTAAGTGGGCAGTGTTTTAAAATTTCTTTTAGAGTTACAAAATCAGTTGAAAAATACAATGGTTTTCATCTGCCCTTTTTACCCAACTTCTCCACAGATTTCTAGAATAATTGTACTTAATGATACATAATGGAGAAAGCAGTTCATGAAAAATGGTATCTTAAGTACAGATTCAATTTAAAAATGAGAATAAAAGAATGTCTACATTAGAAGTTGACCGTACAATCTTTATGGAAGAGAAGTATTATGTAAGCATTGATACGGGAAAAAAAAAAAAACAAAACAAAAAACCCAACAACTTTGAAGTGCCATTTTAAAATACTTGAGAATATATTCACTTTTCAGTAGAATAAATCCTGACATGCTACAAAAAAAGAAATTTCTTAGTATTGCTCAATAGAATGGATTATGCTTTGCAGGCACAGGAGCTGCCTATCAACTTTCCTCGACCTCAGATGTACCAATTGCTTCTAAGATAAATAGTACCTGAAAGTGGTAATATCTTCAGATATCATACAATGATCTTTAGAAGGTGAAAACTTGGAAGGTAGAAAACAGCAGAATCTACAAACGACCAACAGATCATATAAAAATTTACATTTCATAAAGATATTAATATTTCAAAACCATGTTTTTAGGTAAATTTCCAAAAAATTCTGTGTCTCTACATTCAAACCATGATGGCTATCAAGTACTCACAAACACTGGCCTGTAAAAAAGGCTGTGAGTAACAATTAAATTGGGACATACGGAGGGAAAAAAAAAACATCACAGATGCAGGTTTTTGTGTACATTTTATACATTTGCAACTATGCAATCTTGTAAATGCAAATTTCAGGTTTTTTTGTGGAAGGTATTTGTGAATGCCTGCTTGTTTGAGTAAATTTCCTATTCAGAAAGTGAGAAAGGTAAGTGAATGAAAAGGGAAAGAACAGCACATACAAATGCACAAGCGCTCTCAGCTGCTTTCAGTCAATTCTAATAATAATAGTGCATCCCAATAATAATAATAATGCATGCAATAACCATGCATTAATTTTCAGAATCTACTCCTGTTTGAATGGTGAATCATGCTAGTGATATAAAAAGAACACTATAAAAGAACAAAGTCCTCCTATATAATTGAGTCCCGTGCTTCACAAACAAGGCCAAACTCCAGTTGAGGTCAAAGATGTTATGTCTGTTGATAGCTTTCCAATTTATTATAATTATTATTTTAGGGATTAAATGCAAGGTAAGTGCTTAAGCAGTGTCCTGCAATGGTCTTCAAATAAGGAATTAGACTTCCATGTGGTACCTAGGATTCCCAAAAGTCTGACAGTCAAAAATGTTCTCCAAGCATATAATAAAGATCTGAAGACAGCGTAAGTGCAGGAAGAACAATTTAGAGGAGTGGAGACTACACTTCTGCTTCTTTCCTCTGCAAAATATGAAACTAACTAAGAAAAGTCAGTTTTCTTGATTTATAGCATTTCTTGCTTTGTTTTAGAAAGTAAGGAAGAAAAAAAAAAAAAAAGAAATACATGTTGTTACATAACAGGCGTGTTTACTAGAGAACAGATTGGGTGATCCAGAGCAATCTAGAACTTAATCCACTTAACAAAGATAGAATTAAAAAATATACATAGTTTTAAAACCTAGCTTTGTTCCCAACAATCTAGGGATGGAACAAGGCTGTCTGGATCTAACAGGGTCCCAGGAAACACATCACCAGCTAAGCTAACCACAATACAGCCTGCTCTGAACCCAGATTCCATCAGTAACCACCCCATATGGCACTCTGCTTCTCCAGACTGGTTCTTGCTCTCAGTATCCAGAGTACAGCAGGACATAAGCTATGCCAGCTTCATGACATCTGCAAGAGCAAGTTGCAAAGAAATACTGAATGAATCACTCAGATTCTCTTTGCACTTTCGCCAGTATAAACAAGTGGTCACCATGAATGGATTATCATACTAATAAACCCAAAACAACTAAAAAAAAAACAAAACAAAACAAAACAAAAAAACCTCCAAAAACTTCTCTTTTAGGTGGTCTGCTGCAATTAGCAGAGTAATGTTGGCAGTATGGGGATGGAAACATTGGTCTCATTCCAAAGTTAAGACCAAATTAAGTTTTGCACTGAATCAGCAATTCTGTGACTTTGTCTATGAAACACAAAGCGTAACTGATGACAAAGTAACAGAGCTATTTCACCCAACTGATTTTCAGAACCCTGAAGACACTTGATGGTCTGTTACATTTTGCTCCCTTCCAAGTAACAAAGAAATTCTGATTCTATCCACATAAAGAAGCAAATATCCAAGGGGAGAACTACCTGCATTTCAATATTTTTGTGCTATTTTTATATTAAGTAATTATTTTTAAATTCTTCATTTAGTACTTGTTTTTCTTCATTCATTACTAAAAGTAACATGTTGAACAGATCACTGCACGAAGAACTGCCACTACACAAAATGGCTGCCACCTGCCACTGTTTCCAATGCGAAAGAAGCCTCCATCTTCAAACGTGACCAGCTTCCTAGTAGGGAAAGTGCAACCCATTAAAAAAAGGATGTATTTGCTGGATAATTTGGCACTATTTTTGAATGCAAATAGGGGACACGGAAATGACAGAGCAAAACATTGAATCTGAAGCTGGATAAAATGAGCTTACTCATTCGTTCTGCTGAAGGAGAGCACCTGCAATTCTAAACTTAGAATGTATTTCTAAGGAAAAATTGGCTCCAACACATTGTATATACAAGTATCTGTTTTCTCTTCCCCTTCCTTATCATCTGCATTTGACATACATTCTTTGGGTATTTGGGAAATTTCGTGTGTTTGCTTTTTAACCGATGAGGTTTTTTTATTTAACTGACCATGAGTGAGTACACATTTGCACCACAGGAATCATAAAGTCATTTTTGTAGAGTCTTCGCCACTTCAAAAACATTTAAACTGGATACTTTCAGATACTATTTATGATTAAAATTGAAGAAACTCCAAATATAGAAAAGTATGAAGTATTTAACCTTTGTACCTAACTACTGAATATCAAGAACAGGGCAGCAGGAGAGAGTGGGGTTTGATTTATCATGAATTTAAACATCTACATAAACATAGTCATGCACAAATCTTGATTGTATAGAGGCATCCCTGCAGCAATTCCCTCTGTCATTCACCCTGGCAGGTAAAACTGGGACAAAGCAGAAACAGCCACTGTTTATTTCATACCTTTTACTTCTGAAGGCCTGATGTGAGTTTCTGGATAAACCATGCAGCAGATAAAGTCTTTAAGCTGCTTCAAAGATTAAGTTAAAGTACCTTAAAGAAAGCAACTTTCAACATCAGGTTAAACAACATAAAATCAAGTTTCTTTAGAAGTATTTACCTAGACTTGTTCATAAGCAAAATGCTGTTTCATTTGATTACTGCTAATTATGACTGGAGTTGCTTCACCAACCCAAACAAAATAGAAAAATAAAAACCATTTCAAACGAAAAACAAGAGCAACAAAAAGCCAAACAACCAGCATATTCCAACACTTCTTGGCATACATTATTCTTGTTGCTGCCCTTTAATTATTTGAATGTTACAGCTTCATTAAACCTGCCTGGTTAATTGGAACTAAAGATTCACCGTCCCCTAAGTTACTATTTTTCAAAAGAGCCTGCAATCAAATAAGTGAAAAAAGTTTGCACTGCGTGCTACCAACACTATCATCTTTAGTACCTTAAAAAGTTGCTACACAAGATGTTTTAAGCAGCTTTGTTTTCACAACTATTATGTTTAATATGATAGTCCACAGAAAGGAAAAGTTGGATGACCAGCAATGAACACTGGAAGAAGACAATAAAATGGTGCTACAGGAGCCCACACACATTTGTTTCTTAGTTCTTATTTCAAATACACTGGTTAAAAGCATAAGCTCTTTCTTTGCCTCTGGTATCATCTCATGGATACACAGACTCAGCATCAAGCTAGATACTTTCCTAGAGAGGCATCCTTATCACTGGCTGTGGTTTTGCAAGACATATTACACTGGGAATTATGCCTGAATAGCCTTTAAACTATCTATTATGATGCCTGTGGCTCCTGTTCTTGCCTAAAACTTTGTTATGTGTATTCAATCAGAAACCAAATCTGTTGCTCAGAAATACAGAACCCAGCTCATCCCTTTTCATCTCAATAGCTCTACAACATTAACAAGCATAGAAGCTTAGAAGATGGCCCCTTGACAGAATGAGCTTTTCTGTCATAAATCTGTTTCTTTAAAGGGGAAAAAAAAAAAACAACAGAAAATAACCCTTAAAAAAATTAAGAGTGGGTAGCTATTCTAAAACGTAAAGACATTAAAGCTCATCCATTGGTTTTAATTTACATGCAATTCACAGATGCATTTCCTTTCAGTCACAAAAAAGATTGGTACTTCTTCAAAAAGGATTTAATTATGAATGATCTGTGACTCTCCAGCAAAATGAATGAGATAATGAAGCAGCTTAGGTGTGCACATCTCTATTCAGAATTCATCTCCCCTATTCATTCTTTCATGGAGTATCTAACTTAAAATATCAAAATAAAACAATTTTCATTAAGGAATATTTTTCACACCGTGGAATGAATGCAATTGCAGACACCAGGAGACAAGAGCTGTATGAATCAGTAAGTTACAAATGTATGATCCGCAGCATCTACATTAAAACTATACTATATAAAATACTGATGTGTTTATATTTGGCTGCAAAATACATCAGTTTCAAGTGTAAAACGCATATGTTTTACCACATTACTTACACAGTAATTATTTTTTCTAGCTATAGACTCACTCCTGTGATTATCTCTTTCAATCTTCTGATAGCCACAAGAAGAAATTATCTAACGAAGCTTTCATTTAAACAA